CAGAAGATCAGGCTGGACGACAGGAGATGGATCATTCCAAATTGCCCTGTTCTGTTAATTCCCTCTGAAGCATCTGGCACTGGCCACTGTTGGAAGACAGGATAGTGGGCTAGATGGACCATTGGTCTGACCCAGTGTGGCTGTTCTTATGTAAGGAAGTATTTATTTTGTCCCTTTTTTAAGGCTGACATTGACCCTCTTGTCTGTTTGCAACATCTCTTATTCCCTCACTCCATGAGAGTGACCTAAAGCTCACACCAGTCCTTAGCAGTAACTCAAGACCTGCTCCTAGTAAATTAAGGCCCAAGACTACCTCCCATTAAGGTAAATGGGATTGATTCCCATTTACACTAAGGCCCCTTTACATTGCTAGAGTGATGTTAAATGTAAATAAGAATCAGGCTGATTAGTATTCTTTCCGTTAACTTTAATGGGAATTGGGTCCAACCCTGGAAGAGGGATATATTAGACAAAGTATATCTGCTATTGCAAGTGAAATCATTATGGAAACCATCTTTTAACATGCATGGCTTATGTTATTTGTGCAATTGAGGAGGTAATGTATAGAAATGGGATGTTTGCTCTCTACGTCTGGCTTGGTGTGTCCTGTGCAGTCAAGTCAGGGACTCCCTCAAAACAGTGGGTACAGTATTCACTGTGTCCTGGCCATTCCTACTTCTTATTGTCACAGTTTAGGATGATGCTATTGCACTCATAAAGTGGACTGGCACGGGCACAGGAGCTGACTTTCCAATGTGTCGGGGGGTGCTCGACCCCTAGCTCTGCCCCAGGCCTCGCCATTTCCTGTCCCGCTCCACTGCCACCCCACCTCTTCCTGCCCCATTCCACCCCCTCCCCTGAGCATGCCGTGTCTTCGCTCCTCCCCCCCCCCCCCCCCCAGCATTCTGCATGCAGAGAAACGGCTGATTGCATCGGGTAGGAGGCACAGGGAGGGAGGGAGAGGCGCTGATCCATGGGGCCGCTGGCGGGCGGGAGGTGGGGGGGGGGTTGAGGGGAGCTGATAGGGGGGCTGCTGGTGGGTGCTCCAGCCCTGGAGCACCCACGGAGTCAGCGCCTATGGTCACAGGTGTCCTTCCCTTGCCTCCATTCAGAGATTAGGCCAATCTCAGCATCAAGCCTGACACAAAGTAATTCTCTTTGCTTGCAGCCAGACATGGTTTGTTCCTATTTTTAATGGCTTTTTTATTCTAAGGTAACTACTTTAATGCAGTTCTCTTATCCCATGGATTCCCAGATACTGTTGCTGCATCACACAGCACTGCTTCCAAGCTTTTGCAGGCCAGATCTGCAAAATATCTCTTCCAAACCATAATTGCCCATTCAATATTAAAATACATACAGTATTCCTATAGTTAAGTTATTATGTGTAAATATTTAACCCATGTCTACCCTACTGGGAATATAGTTGCATAGCTCTGGTGCTGTAGCTATGTTTGTATAAGCCCATAGTGTAGACACAGCCTACAGCAACATTTTTTCCATCACTGTAGGCACATCACATCCCCAAGCGTCAGTAGCTAGGTGGATGGAAGTATTCTACACAAGGGGTTAGGTTAGCACAGCTATGGCGCTCAGGTGTGTGGATTTGAAGAGCGCATCAGGCGTTACACTCTTGAGACAGGATCTCTTGCACTGCCACTTGTGACTCAACATTTGTGTGTGTGCCTCACTGACCCACAATCACAAAACGGCACGTTGCCAACTCATAATTAGCACCGCACATGTGGACTCACTGTCCCCCTCAGGAGCCAAGTTTAGCTGTTGCACTAAAGCTGTCTATAATCTCATGACTGAAACTTTATGTCCTGCAATACCTTTCCATGTGATTTTAAAGGTCATTTTCCATCAGAAGTCGTCTGTTCAATTGGATGTCTGATCCAAAGCCCATTGAAGTCACTAGGAGCCTTTCCTCTGACTTCAGTGAGCTTTGGATCAGGTGCTTTGAGGGGTATGCTCTTTCCCGACCTGTTCCTAGTAGGGTGCAAACATGGTCAGAACAATTCACTTAAAATATAGCCAAATATTCAGGGATAGAGTTTTGTTTGTTTGTTTTGTGCATTTTTCACTTAGCTCTACCTCAGTTCTGTTCCTGAATGTGCCATTGACAGTCTCTGACCCTGAACCACTCACGTCTCTGCTCTGCGCCTCAGTTTCTCCATTTGTAAAAAGGAGATGATACTTATAATTACCCACCTTTGTAAAATGCTTTGAGACATTTGGGTTAAAGACATGACATAAATGCAAATTGGTATTATGCTACATCCATAATTAACTTCACTGACGATGATCCAATATTCTGAGTGAAGAAACACATCCTTGGTCTCAGTTAATGATGATTAATCTATAGAGCTGGGCTGAGGATGGAAGTGAAGGCTTTCAAGATTTTGAAATGTGGCTTCATGCCAAATTGGCATAAACACAGAAAATTTCAAAATTCTTTGTGAAGGAAAATTTTTAAATAAATAAATAAAAACAAAAGTGCTTTTGGTTGATCAAAATGTTTCAAAATATAACACAAAATACAAAAATGAAAATGAAAATTAATTTCAAAACAAAAAATCAAAATGTTTCATTTCAAAAATATCAACATGGGATGTTTGGACATTGTCAGAACTTTTTTTCCTGGAGAATTGACCCGATTTCATGCAGTGTATTGATTTTGATGGAGCCGCATGTTCTGTCAGAATATGATTCTGTCAAAGTGTCTCCGACCAGTTCTAGTGAAATATACCAGTCAAACCACCACTATTCCACTCTAGAAATATGCCCTGATACAAGGAGATGCTTTCTGCAAACGGTGGGTAATGTCTTTCCTACTTGCTAAGGGCTTGTTGTAATCCTGGAGACCGTGGTTCCTTGAAATGCACTAGAAGACATCTCAAGTCATTTTCAGATGCAGCTCCTCCTGCCCTCACTCCTTGTTGTCAGTGAGCAGAAACACCCCACAACAGGTTACTCCCACAGTAGCATCCTGTCAGGCAGCACAGCAATCTGAACATTTCCTTTGCCACCTAGGAGTCAACTCTCTCTCCCCCTTCCCCCGTGGACAAGATACTCCGTAATTGTCTTCTGCAGGGATTCTTGCATCTTCCTCTGAAACAGCTTGGACTTGTCACTGTCAGTGACAAGATGCTGAACTAGCTTGGCCACTGCTCTGATCTTTTATGGCAATTCCTGTATTCCCCTGATGGTCCTCTCTTCCCTTTTCAGGCTAATAAAGAAGTATGTCTAGTTAAATCAGGCTGTGGAGCAGTCTTCTAAGAGCTATCAGATCTGCTGGATCTGTAGGGACTTTAAAAAGCAAATTGAAAATGTTCTCATCTGCAAATGCTTCCAGTTTGTGAAGTGCATGGCTGATGTATTAAAGATTTTAGTGCAGTTTTGTGAGCAGAGCTATCAAACACTTCACATAAAAAGTCACTTTGCAAATGTGCTTGCTTAATCTCGCCTCATATGGTCAAGGAAGAAATTGTGTTGTGTTGCCTGAGTATTCAATTTACTCCTTATCTGTTCTCTTGGTGAAAGGCGCAGCTTGGGGACTTTCCTTGGTATTGTGGTTCTATTGCCCTCTATCAGCTTTGCGGTCCACATCCCAATATCAATATACTGACACCACTTGGCTTTGATTCCTCCCACTCCATCAAATACAATCCAGGCTAACTGCAGAGACCTCTGTAGCGAAGCAGCCTGGATAGAACACTTGACTAGGGGTCAGGAGATCTGGTGTCTATTCCTGGCTCTGCCAATGACGTTGGTCAAATCACTGTGTCTCAGTTTCTCCATTTGAAAAGCGGGGATAATAATCCTGGTGCAGCTTTGTAAAATGTTTTGAGATTCATAGAATCACAGAAGTGTAGGACTGGAAGGGACCTCGAGAGGTCACCTAGTCCAGTCCCCTGCTCTCAAGGCAGGACAATGTAATAACTAGACCATTCCTAACAGGTGTTTGTCTAACTTGTTCTTAAAAATCTCCAGGGATGGAGATTCCACAACCTCCCTAGGCAATTTGTTGATCAAAGACCAGCAAGACCATGCATCAAAGATATCATACAGGAGCTTTTATTAAGGGCAAGTATTGCCCAAGCAAAGCCTGCTGAATCAGGCCCAACATAAACCTGCAGTGTAGTGGCATGGCTGGTGCGCTGCTTTGTTTATGGGCACATACCGAGTTCAGAAATGGACTTAGAGTTCAAGGCCTGGATGGTGCCTTGAGGATATATTTAGGCAGATAGTAGGTAAGTTCTCTTGAAGCAGATGGGTAACTCCAAGTGACATGTTGATTGTACAGAGGGCTGGGAGTCAGTCTTCTACTCACTCAGCTAAGTGGCCTTGGGCATGACAAGGCACCCTTTCCTGCTTCAGTTTCCCCATGTGTACAAGGGAAATAGTGATACTGTTTTGTAAAGTGCTTTGAAATCTATGAAAGAAAAGTGCTATATCCTGTTGTTATTATGAATGCTAAATGCACATGGGAGGTATGAAAGAACTTAAATTTCTCAGAGAACCCCTTCCATCCCCAAAAAACTAATCCATTGTCCTGAAGTTAAAAAAAAATCATCTCAATAATGGCTGAACTGGAGGCAGATGAACTATCTCTTCATCATCATTAAGAGGAGGAAGATGGCTCAGTGTCTAAAGCACAAAGCAGGAATCAGGAGATCAGTGCTAAATTAGAGGCTGTGCCACTATCTTGTTCTCTGACTTTGGATAAGTCACTGCATTGCTCTGTGCCTCAGTTTCCCCACCTGTAAAAGAGTGATACCGACTTCCCTCAAAGGAAAATTTTGAGGCTTCATTCATTCGTGCTTTTAAAGTGCTTTGAGACCCTTGGATGAAAAGCAGCTATAAAAAGCAAAACAGTGTTTCTGTTTTTAAAAAGGAGAAGAAAAAGGTTGGATAAGCTGTATTTTTGTTTTGTCTTTAAAAGCCCTGGAGCGATCTCCATTATTTATGAGCAGTGTCTCTCCTTCCCCTTTTAGGTACTATGCTATCTGCTGCCAGCCTCTGGTTTACAGGAATAAGATGACACCACTGCGCATTGCTCTAATGCTTGGAGGGTGCTGGACCATCCCGACATTTATTTCTTTTCTCCCTATAATGCAAGGCTGGAATAGCATTGGTATATTAGACTTGGTGAGTAATAACTATGATTCCGATTGCTTGATGTGAAATGCCTTCAGTGATTGCAGCAAAGGTGCCCTCCTCCCTTCCCCCTTTTAAATATCATTGCCCACAGAGACTTGAAGGAGAGAGGTGCTGAATTACAAACTCAGTGATATTTCTGTAGAGGTGCCGCTGAATACCTAGAGGGTGTCTGCCATGGAGATGAGGCCTTTGCTTTAGGTCCAGTGGGAGATCTGCCTGAGTAAGAACAGCAGGATTTCCCTGAGAATCTAGGGAAGGAGACATTTGTATTTAGAAATCATGGGCCTGATCCTAAGAGGTGCTGAGCTGCCTCTTCACCACTGATTTCCATGGGATGTGAAGGTGCGCTAGGCCTTTCAGGATTAGACCCCTAAGGAGCATGTCACAGAGATAGTGGCAGCTCTCGGTCAGAAATTTAGACGAGGGTTAACTCACCAGTGCTGCACATGTGCTTATTAGTCAAGTGGCCTTTTGAAAGTGCCACCCAGTGGCCTGCTGTGGGTGCCAGGCCATTTGACGACACAAGCTCAATCGACTGCGTATGGGCCTAGCACACTCTTAAATTTAACATTTCCCTTCTTGTGGGTTTTCCTGCAGAAGGGGATGATTTGACTCCCTGTATTTATAATGACCCCCTGTAATTGTATGACTGATAGCCTTGCCACTCAGGGTATATCATAGAATGAAAAGACCTGCAGTTCTCCTGCAACAGGAAGATATTTGTGGTGGCCAATGTTTTCTGAACTATATAGTGATTTGGAGTGTCCAGCCTGAGACACCTTAAAGGGGCCTGATTTTCAGAGGATGGGTGCTCAGCATGTTCTGAAAATCAAGCTCCTTGAAAGTGTCTCTGATTGGACACTCCAACACAGAGATGCCCCAAATCCCCACTCACTTTTGAAAATCTTGACCATTGACTGTAACAGTGCTGCCCAATGGAAAGCCCAATAGTGGGGTCTATCTCCTGTGCGGACCAAACAGCTGGGGCTTGAACTGAGACCCTTGGGTGGCTTGAAGGCACAAGCTCTAGCTAGTGAGCCACCAAGAAGGGTGCTGCTTCGCTTGCTTTTTTTTGCTGGTCCCACCAACACTCCATTTTCAGTGTAGTGGTGAGGGGGAAACCTTCCCAACCAGGTGGGTCTTTTAGTTAGTGGTCAGTTTTTATACCCTTTGGCTTTATTTTCAGAACCTCTGTTGTGGGGCATGGGTCATAAAAGCCATAAGTCACTCTCCATCCTGCCAGCATGTAGATAAAGGAATTAATGAGAATAAAAAACAATAGAGTAAAAATGCCCCATTTAAAGAGGGCCTGGGATTAGTGCCTTGTGTGTGAATCTCAGAGCAAACAAAATTGGAAACCCTGAAAGAAGATTTTAATACTTGTGGGCTCACTGTGGATACCAAGGGCAATCTGTCAGGTGAATTGACTGGGTGATAAGCGCAAAGATTCCTCCAGCTGGGCTTGGGGATCATTTAAGGATGATTAAAGGAATCATTTCTTCTCCTATTGATTTTTTCCATTGACTTCTCTGCTTGTGTCCTTTCAGAAAAGGCTCCGCTTTTATTTCTCTGCCATCGACCCTTTACATACCAGAGCACAGTCCCCACCACTCCTCATAATTGTCTTTAAATTGATCCTCCACGCAGTTTACGGGGTGCACCCTGGGCAGTATATCGGGGGGGGGAATGCGATAACTGTTTCCAAGAGGCTCAGACGTAACTGTGTGACCACACATCATAGCTCCTTTTCATCATCTTTAAACCAATGTGACGCTGACCACAGCTTTAAAGAACAAGATGGGGTTATTCACACGCTGTCTTGTCAAAATCCGTGCAGGAGAGAAAATGAGAGGCAGAGGTACTTCTCTCACAGACACCTAGTGACAGGCATTACGTGCTGCCACTGTTCTGTAGCAGGAATGTTCTCCCAGAGGATTCCCTTTCCCCCCAAACTCACATACTTCACTTTTCTCCATTCTCTCAATGCTTTTCTTTCACCAGTGGGTGCCTATGTTGTAGCCCATGGGCCAAATGCAGCCCTCTGAATTATATGAAACAGCCTGCAGCTCTCCTCCTCTTTAATGTGGTAGACCAGCACAAGATGATTTACAGACTGCTTGGCTCAAGATGGAACACTGCACATGGACAGGAACTCTCTGTGGGCCACACTTCCATAGTAGAAAGAAGAGACGGGCTGCAGTCTGCTCTGTTTTATAGAGACCGTGCATTTCATTCAGGTTCTTTTCTTGTTCCCAGCATGAAGCTTGGCTGGGCAGAGTTTGGACATCTTTGCTTTAAAACTGGATACAGGTGCATAATGTGTAAATAGCAGAGAGTAAATGGGTTACCTTCCTTCATCCTCCCCTCCCCCCCACTTCCTGTCTGGGGTTGTTCTTTTCCATCTATATTCCTTGGTCTCTGTTTTAGGGAGAGAGTGAATATTCTATAGCCATGCTGAGAAGATCTCTGGAATGTTTGAAGTTGTGACACTAACTACAGAGTAGTAGGGCTTAAGAACTGCAATGCAGCAAATTCTATGGGGATGACCACACAGGGTATGTCTGCACTACACACTATCCTGGACTCTGACTCAGTTTTGAGCCTAACCCCCCTTTTCGTCCACACATAAATTAGTCTGACTCGGGTCAGCGACCTCAGAACCTGGGTGCTAGGACCTTGTTGGGGGGGATTGGCTCAGAGTCCCACTGTGACTCGGGCCCAAGCCCTGTCATTTTGCAGTGCGGATGCAGGTCAAGCTGCACACTCTATAGCAGGGATTGGCAACCTTTGGCACGCAGCCCACCAGGTAAGCACCTGGCGGGCCAGGCCGGTTTGTTTACCTGCCGTGTCCACAGGTTCGGCCGATCGCGGCTCCCACTGGCCGCAGTTTGCTGCTCCAAGCCACTGGGAGCTGCGGGAAGCGGCGCGGGCCGAGGGATGTGCTGGCCGCCACTTCCCGCCACCCCCATTGGCCTGGAGCGGCGAACTGCGGCCAGTGGGAGCCGCGATCAGCTGAACCTGCGGATGCGGCAGGTAAACAAACCGGCTTGGCCCCCAGGGTGCTTACCTTGGCGTGCCGCGTGCCAAAGGCTGCCGATCCCTGCTCTATAGAAAAGGCCTGTGCAGTGCAGTGTGAACACATCAGCAAGGCTGGGACACCCAGGTCCAGCCATTGTAAACCCAGTTTTTACAACACAGTGTGGGCTTGGAAACGCCTCACAAATCCAGGCCCCATGGGCCCAGGCTTTGTAGATGTACCCAGAGAGAAAATAAGAGAGAGAGAGAGCAAATGGATGAGACAGATACAAAAGACAGTGGAGAGATGAGAGAGAGAAGGAAGAGATAGACAGAAGCAGAAGCTGGTGGAGGAGTGACCCAGTGACCAAAGCACTCAGAGATTCTTGTCATCAGAGAAGCTGTGATAAGCCTCTTTTGTTCTTTGTCCCTGTTTTTTCTTTCAGATACAACAAAGACAGTTCAACAAGGCTTCCAACTCAACCTACTGCGTGTTCATGGTCAACAAACCCTACGCCATCACCTGCTCAGTGGTGGCCTTCTACATTCCATTCCTCTTGATGGTGCTGGCCTACTATCGGATTTACATCACGGCCAGGGAGCACGCCCGCCAGATCCGGATCCTCCAGCGTGCAGGGGCGCCCACAGAGGGGAGACACCACCCGGACCAGCATAGCTCTCACCGTATGAAGACTGAGACCAAAGCTGCCAAGACCCTGTGTATCATCATGGGGTGCTTCTGTCTGTGCTGGGCCCCGTTCTTTATCACTAATGTCGTGGACCCGTTCATAAATTATACTGTACCTGAGCAGCTGTGGACAGCTTTCCTGTGGTTGGGCTACATCAATTCAGGGTTGAACCCCTTCCTGTATGCCTTCCTGAACAAGTCTTTCAGACGTGCCTTCCTCATCATTCTGTGCTGTGGAGACGAACGCTACCGAAGGCCTTCCATCTTGGGGCAAACTGTCCCCTGTTCCACCACCACTATAAATGGATCGACGCACGTGCTAAGGTGAGTGCTCCTCAGAAGCAGCAGAGTACTTCGAAAGCAGAGAGTACTTTTGAAAGCAGTTCACTGTTGTCAATGGGCTTTTATTGAAGGGCAGATTTCTTCTTCTGTTAGGGCATGGGAAGGGTTCAATTTCCAAAGGAGGTGCAATAGGAGCACCTGAAGGCAGGATTTGTGCCTGCGCTCTGGCATTTGTGTGCACACAGCAGGTAATGGCATGCCTGCCACTGTGTTCAATTCCTTGATTTCTGTGTGAACAGAAGAGATTATGCAGGTGCAATAGGCATGTGAACATTTTTGAAGGGGCATTTCAGTTTAAATGTTTCACTCCAATCGGTCAAAATTAACACCACTGAGATGCTGTCATTCCTCTCTCTGGTTAGCAAGGAGCCATTATCTTTCTATGTTCTATCATTCCTTTCTCTAAAATCCCAGTCATTTCATTTTCTAAACCAATGCCAGGGGCCTTCATTCTATGGCATGTTATTGTAATGGTTTACCCTGTGTTTTTTGTCATGTTCACAGGCAGCGAATGGCCACCAGCTAAGGTATTTTAATAATGTCTCCATTTTAGTCAGTGGATCTAAGCCTATGGATCCTGTGAACAGCTGTCTGCACTTAGAGCTTGGAGCAGATAAGGGGTCATGCCCTGCTGGGCACTTGAGACTGGGAGCAGGATAAGGTAGGCTGGTGAAGATCAGGCACCTGATGATTCTCTGGAGGAAGTACAAGTGCTGTGTGAAAAACACCCCTTTTGACTCCCTGTCAGAGGATTAGGGAAGAGGGTGGTGGAGTTATATGGGGGAACGAGAAAATCAGTGCTCCTTGGAATGTCAGGGTGAGCTCCTCTTATTCTCTGATGAATGGGATGTAAGCAGCACGTCCACAATACAGTGGTGTGTTGATTGGGGAGGATAGTAATGAACAGCTCTAATTCCCAGAGTGTAATGCCCAGGTGATTATTATCTACAGCCAGGAGGCTCAGTTCCGAAGCTGAACTCCCCCAAACTGGGTTCCATCAGGGGATTCGTCTCAGACATATTTTTATTGTAAACATCCATGTCCTCTTGAAATGGGCTTCTGAGGTATAATGGATGGGAGAGGGGAATGACTCAGCACAGTAACTCATGCACTCAAGAAGGCCTTTTTTTAGGTTTCCAGGCCACTAACAAGGGTTTTTAAAAATACCTTCTGCTGATTAAAATTGGGTTTCCGGGGCTAAGCTCCATGCGCCCTCATTCTGTAACTGAGTCTTGGCTCTGCGCCACTCTGCTGTGTGAGCTGTTATTTATATCATAGCAGTGCTCTCAGGGATGAGCCAAAGGCTGGTCTCCTGAAGGAGGATTTACAGAGCAGCCAGGCTGTCTCTGGCATTGCTCATTTTGAAGTACCTCTCCAGTCCACCATAAGCAAGTCAATAATTTTCCTGGGGCTCTATAGCAGTGGATGTTGTAAACATGTCATTGGGAGGGACAAGACTGTGGTCTTACAGTAGTGCTGGATGGTGTTTCACTGTTGTGAGGCTCAGTATTTTATGCGAACAGTCACTCCTGGGACTAGCCAGTGGCTCTGCCATTTAGAAGGTGCAGGATTCTGAGGACAGCACAGTGGTCTGGAGAGGAAGGGAGGGAGACCTGCATCTAGTTTTAGTCAGTGGGTACTGAGATCTGGCACTTGACTGTGAAGCATAGAAGCCAGAGGGTCTGCAATGCACTTCCTTCCACTCTTCAATGCATAATGACTTGAGTTTGGGGGAAAGGGAGCTGTGAAGGAAGCTCATCATGATTGGAGGGAATGCGTTGCTTGTGGTTTTCCTATCTCCAGCACTGAGCACCCCAGTTAGTCATCACAATGGCCTCTTACCATCAAACTCTTCTTGGACACAGCTGTGTCCTGCAGCTAGAGAACATGGTGAAAATCAGCCCCTGCAGAGCTAGAAATGCACACAAGATCATCACAAGGGAAAACACTAAAGCTGGAGAAGGCTAATGGGTTATAACAAATGGGATTCCGTATCTTAGCTGAGATCACAGGAGGGTTATTTCTGTTTGCAACCTTCTCTACCTGCATCCTGCCTTTCCTTGTGTTCGCCCTCTTGCAAGTCCCCCAATACGTGAATGAATGGCAAGTATCGGAACCACTTGCATAGGTTTCCTGTGCTCCTATGAGTCTGTTAGACTGGATGGAGCATTAGTATAATGCCCCATAGAGAGTAATTCTACATAGGGCAGGAAGATTGGCCAGGTGACCTTTAAATCTTTTCCACATTTACCTTCTCTGACTCTGATGACAAGCCATAAAGAAAGCTTTTGGGTAAAATTGTATCATTATCTCTTTAGTGTTCTTACATAACTGCAACTCAGATCACTTCCCATTGGCTCACCATCATCTCTCAATACCTCCCAAACCCTGCTTAGCATGGCAGTACTTAGATGCTTGCGTTACATTGCAGGTTTCCATCTCTTCCCCCTTGGAGGCTGGAATGATCAAATGGGCTGCTCAGGAATGCCGGCTCTGCACCCCAGTCCTTCAGAGGCCAATTACCTTTTGGTTTCCTCAGCTTTCTAACTGAGGAGGGAGGTATTAGTTATTCCCCACAGGGTGGGGGTGGGCGGTGGCAGTGCCCAGTTATGATCTGTGGGCAGCTATTCTTGCCTAAAAGCTTTTCTTAGTTAAATTGCATCAACACTTTTGTTTTAAACACAAAGCACATTGTTATCAGCAAGGAAGGAGGATAAATTCAGTGAGCTACATTCTCCCAAGCCCTAACTTACACCTCTCTTCACCAGCCTGGTAACCCTGGGATCTTCACTCAGCAGGTGGGTGTTGACGCCCTATCTTGGAATTTTCTGCTGGATTGGGGCTGTTCTAGGTTATGTCCCAGGCTTCATAGGAGCCCCATTGGAGAAGATGCGCAGGGGACGTGATGAATCAATGCATTGCCAGGATAGAGAGCCAATGATCCTTCTGTGGCCAACATCTCCCATTTATGGGGCTCTGACAACCTCTAGAGGTCCCTCAGCAGAGGGGAATGTCAGCTGTTTTCTCCATTCTACCAGAGTCAGTGATGGCAGAAGTTAGAGTAGACCCTTTGCTGAGTCCTTCTTCCAAAAATTCAGGGAATTTCTGGATTTGGTTAAAAGGATTTAACTCATTCAACCCAGTAGGAAAGCAGGTGTGAATGATAATGTTCATGGGAATGGGTGTCTCATACACATCAGATGCCTCAACCCTCACTTGGCTCAGAATTTTCATTGGGTCACATTGTTCCCTCCTCATCCAAACCATTTTACTCTCGCTGAGTATTGTGCATCTAATGAATTTCTAAGGAAGACTGGAGGTTCCAGATGCAAGGGGTGCATTTGTCTTTGTTTAAGATGAGACACACACATTGTTCTGGGATGCAACTGACTTTTAAGAATGTTTTCTCATCAAAGAATGCAGTGTTTTATTTTTCTGACAACATTAAGTGTCAAAATGTTCTGACAGCCATTTTAGGATTTTTCACATTTATGTTAGGAAGGAAAAAAAAAACTCTCTGAGGATCAGAGTGTGCTAAAAACACTGTAATGTTTCCCTCACCAAATACAAACTGACACAATTGGAGACAGATTTTATTGCCTTTTGTGTGTGTGTGTGTTCTCATGAAAGATAATAGCATTGTAGTCCTAGAAAACTGAACTTCTCCAGGGTATAGGCATAACCCAGGCAGAGATAGTGCATGTCACTCTGACCATGTGCCTTAATCACAAATCAGCACTTGGAGGTGCCAGCAGACATCAGTTTCCATAGTGCTCATTGAGTTCTTCATCTTTCTGTCAATCAGTGCCAAGGGCCTCTGTCTACTGGGACTTTGAATGAGACCACCAAGCTTTTCCTCCCCCCCACCCCCAAAAATACTACTGAATAGCAGGGCTGGCTCCAGGCACCAGCCGAGCAAGCTCGTGCTTGGGGCGGCAGATTCTAAGGGGCGGCTTCCCTCCAATCCTTTTTTTTTGCTTTGCCGCTTCAGCTGCCCCGCAGGGTTTTTGTTGTTGTTGTTCGCCGCTCCGGCCGCCCTGTAGGGGGCGGCGGCGCAGAGGAGGGGAGCGCCCAGCTGGGAGCAGGCTGCGCACTCCGTCTGCCCCAGCTGGTGCCCAGTCTGCAGCAAGCCCGGCAGGGCAGCCTTCCTCCCTCCCCGCTGACTGGAGCGTCCTTCCCTCCCCGCTGACCGGAGCGGCGCGGAGCCCTCCCGGCAGGCGGCACGGCGCGGTGGGAGGGGCCGCGTGGCGAGTGCCCAGCTGAAGGAAGCCCTGGCCGCCCCCCTTCTCTCTCTCTCCCCCCCCGCTCTCTCCCCCTCCTTCTCCCCCTGCTAGTCGGGGCGCGCCCTCCGCTGCCCGGGGCACGTCTGCAGCCCAGGGAGTGCTCCTGCACCCTGGCTCCGGCCGCCCCACAGGGTTGTTTTTTTTCGCTTGGGGCGGCAAAAAAGCCAGAGCCGACCCTGCTGAATAGCTATTAGATGGAAACAAGTTGCAATCACAACTAGAACTGTCTCTAAGGTGCCACAAGTACTCCTCGTTCTTTTTGCTGATACAGACTAACACGGCTACCACTCTGAAACTAGAACTGTGTGCACAGAGGGAATAAAATTCTGTACAGATATTCATTCAGCTTTGAAAGTGCATTTTTATTTGATCATATTACAACCCTTTGGGATTTGCTTTCTGCAAACATATGAGCACTTGAGCTCTACTAGAACAAATACTCCTCCAAAGTGCATTTTTATCTTAATGTCTGAATTTTCACCTACATTAATTTTGAACTATACATACAGTTGCAAAATTCAAGCAGTGTCAGTGCAAACTGTGAATTATAAAGTCTGCTGTCATCTCTACAATGTGGAATTCACACTGTATTAGTGCTTTACAATTTATGTCATTTACCTGAGTTAGCTACTCAAGTTACAGCATGAATTATGTATCTAATTGTGATATTTGCAATTCACAATTCTAGTGAACTGCAGA